GATCTCAACACTATTTGGAACGGATCTACTAACATTTACGCTACAGAATGTAGAAAAGCCTCTTAACAGTGTCTTCTTTTAATAGGCTCAATAATAATAATAGCCTTATTATGAATAATGTTTATATAATGTACAGAATTTTCAGTGGAATTTATTGCACGATATTTTATCTTTGCCCAGGATCATCAAATAAAAGGTTTAATTGACAGTAGATCATGTGACACAGTTCTATCTGACCTAAAGCGCAAACTGACCCATTATGGGTACCCTTTCTTTTTCTGCTTCGATAAACACACGACATTTTCTTGAATGCCAGTTATAAAAAAGTTCACTAGTACACTTTGTGATCCAAGGACACCACTCAAGAACGATCCACTCATGTATTGGAATAAGCTGCCATCCATTGAGGATAATACTTTTTCTCAAGTTTAGTAGAAATTTGCGAATCAGCAGGTGGCTGTAAATTTTTTAAATACTCGTCAGAGTAAACAATGTTATTAGACGTCATACTTCACTGGATTTGAACAACTTGAATACGAGAAATTATATGCAAAATGTTGATGGAGGTTTTTCCCAACTATAAATATCAGAGAAAAGAAATGCCCGCTGAATAAAATCATGTATCATTTCAAATTAAGTCTGAAGTAAAATACTAAGTGGCATCATCCTGGAGGTGCGTCTGTGGTACAGCTGTTAGGACGCTCGCCGACCATGCACATGGTCTGGGGTTCGATCCCCAGCCATCGACGCACTCCTTTACCTCGCTAAGCCAGAAATAATGCTAGTAAAGAGGAAAGGTTGGGCATGAGGCTAGCAACCATATCCTGTAAAAATAAACACTGCTATAGAAACTTCAAGGCGGTAGTTTGAAGCCCTATGTTCCACTGGGAACGTGAAGGAAAAAATATAGAAAATATATCCTGGAGAGAATACAAGATGCATTGAATAGACAAATCCGTCAACCGGAACAAGCTGGATTCAGAAAAGGCAAATTATGTGCCGATCAAATTTCAAATCTACGCATCGTCGTTGAACAAAGCATAGAATGGCAGTCAAACCTCCACCTCAACTTTTTTCATTGACTTCGAAAAGGCCTTCGATAGGCATCATTGACCGAGGAATAATTTGGAAACTGCTTCAAAACTCTGGAGTGCAGTGCCCAAATCCCTATCAACCTTAATCAAGACCTAGCTTTATGATAATAGCACGTGTCAGAAGATCTACAATGGGAAACACAGCGAGGTGTTCGAAGTCAATAGAGCAGTAAGACGAAACTTTCTAATATCACCAATCATATTGCCAACTGTGGTGAACTGGACCATGTGGGGAGCAAGGAGACAGGAATACTCTGTACCACCGATGAGAAGACTCTAGAAGATCTGGTTTTCGCGTGTGGATCATGTATGCCTAATGTCACATAAACCTGAAGACTTACAGGCGAAAACCAAAATACCATCAGGCTGAAGAAACAGGCAGTGTAGACCGGAATTCAGGTGAAAATAGGGAAGACGGAGGTGACGAAGATAACCAGTCAACAACAACAACAAACAACAACAATCAATATCAACGGGAGTAATTTGAATGAAGTTACTTTCTGCCTTCACTTATCTCGGAAGCGTCGTGTCTACTACAGACGGTACGGATGAAGATATAAAAGTTAGGATTGGAAAGGACAGATACGCCTTCATTAACCTGAAACCAGTTTGGAAATCTTCAACACCTCGTCTCAGCATAAGGAACAAGATTCAGATTTTCGACACAAATGTGAATTTGTTCCTTCTATATGGATCAGAAACTTGATCACGGTGTCACGAAAAGGATTTGCGACAGGTTGCAGACTCTTATCAACAGCTGCCACCTTCACTAGCGCCGGTCAGAAAGAATTAGCAGCAAGAAAGGCTTCAGTGGAACAAACCAATCAATCAATCGTCGCTCAACAAATATGTAGGAGAAAATGGAAATGGATCAGGCATACATTGAGGAAACCGCTAAATGACATCGCGCGCTGAGCAATTGCTCGAGTGGAATCCCAGTGGGTAGCCACGAGTGGATCGTCAGTGTGAGGGTGACATGGAGGAGATTGTATGAGGAGGAGGTGAGAGATTATAGGCAATTGTTGGCCCAGCTGAACAGGACATCAGAAAATAGAAGAAAGTGCAGATGTGTTGTTGAAACCCTACGCTACACTCAGAACCCAAGGGAGTAATAATAATAATAATAATAATACACCTCACCATAGTTCATTAGAACATAATTAACAAAAAATTGAAGTGTTTATTATTACTATGGTGTTTGATTTAATACACCAGCTAATTCAGAAATATCCATTTGAAGTGTAACTGAAGCATGAAATGTTTTAGTTGCTTCTTGTTTTACTACAAGCTAGCGGGATAGGTTTAAAACAATATCTGTAGCATTCGGATTTGAATATGATGATCAAGAACACTTTATTGCAGATATGTATGATATCTAGAGCATGAACAAAATCAAAAGTACTTCTCAAATCTTGCAACCAGTTGTCACTAGCGTACTGCCGAAGAGTCCCAAACTAGGACGAAACAGCCGTCCAGTACTCCCTGGTTTTCCAGTGGTTCTCTAACTGATGTCAGCTCATGATTAAATCCTCCATGCAATCAAACAAAATCCCTACAAAACCAATACCTGAAAATTAATCTGATGCTCACTAGTGACTGGCCCTATTCATGCAGTTAACCTGGGGTTCTAGTGGGAAGCCGTGACCATTAGGGTGCAGCAGGTTGAAGATGAGGCAGTAACTCATCGAAGAAGACATTGCGAAGTGGTCGCGCTATGTCGTGAACTGGCAGAAGTTAGAATTCAAGGACCATTGGATCAGATCCCAGTGGCTCAATTATCTACGAGCACGCTGGCCTTGTAACCAGAAGGTCCTGGGTTCGAATCCCGGTGGGTGCGTACTGGTGAAGAGTCCCAAATTAGGACGAAACGGTTGTCCAGTACTCCCTGGTTTTCCAGTGGTTCTCTAACTGATGTCAGCTCATGATTAAATCCTCCATGCAATCAAACAAAATCCCTACAAAACCAATACTTGAAAACTAGCTAATTCACCTTAATTATTTGAAGATTGTAACAGGGATGAAAATAGAGTTTTCAAGGCTAGAATCGTAAAATGGAATCATTTTTTAATATTTTTTTATATATATGGGGATAATTTAATAATTCCCATTGTAGCATTAAGAACACAATATCCAGCGAAGAGACTCTTTTCAACGAATTCATTATCAAGCTATACAATCGTATATATATATATATATATGGTTTTTTAAGAAATTATATCCGATGAGGGAATTAGGTCAAAGGTGTGAATACATGAAATAATAATACTAGTATGAAATGCAATTAAATATTTGTGATTATAATCATAGTCAAATGTCAAGTGGCAAAATAATTAATGTCATATATAGAATAATACATAAGGTGTATAGATTTTGGAAAGGTATACATAATTATAAGATTAGTAGACGAATATAAAATGCACATAACATGGTGTGAAATTTGACAGATAAGATAGAATTCAATATTGTAAAAATAAAAAATAATAATTTGGGGTTTAAAATGACAAGTGGAAAGGATTTAGAGTGAGAATAGTAGTAATAATAATAAAATAGAATAACTAAATAAACAAAATGAATAAATGTCTATCCCTCTACGGCCAAGGCAGAAATAGGGATTGTACATACTTCTTTTGTACACAAAGGTCTGGCTTAAGTCATGAATTGCCAAGGCCTCAGCTGTCTTTAGAAGTCTGTTAGGAAGAAAACGCGGGAAGTTAGCATGGATTCTATAGATGATCTTAAAATCATGGTCAGGGTTGACCGAGTGACAGAAGTTGATCAGGTGTTCTAGAATAGAGCTTCGCATACACTTCCTTTCTCCCTTGTAAAACCAAGCTGGAATATGTTCTCCTATTTGTGTGGTGGAGAGCGTCCTCTGACTATGGCCAATGCACCTTGCTCCACAAGAGCAGGTGAACTGGTAAATGCACATGGAGGCGGCCAGATGGGGTAGCTTATCTTTTACAGAGGTAGAGAACAATTTGTGCCTGGTGAACGTCATGTGTAATTTTGCAGGAAACAACGTCTCACTGACTGATTGAGAGAGACGATTTTTGAGAATATCTGAAGCTTGATCACCTTTGAATTCCAAGTACATGAATAAGGTTTTCTTTGGAACTGTGTCGGTGACCAGTTTAGACTGCTTGTCTTTCATGTTGCTGTCGATACATCGGTTAGGGTAACCATTTTCTGCGAGTGTGGCTTTCAAGAAGTCAAGATCTGAGTCACTTCAATCAGAACTAGAAATTTTCCTCATCCTGGAAATAGGAACCCAACTGTAAAAATTAGTTAGTTGTCCGTTCCATGTACGTTTCCACACAATGTTATGTAACATTTTATATTCATCTACTAATCTTATAATTATGTATACCTTTCCAAAATCTATACACCTTATGTATTATTCTATATATGACATTAATTATTTTGCCACTTGACATTTGACTATGATTAGAATCACAAATATTTTAATTGCATTTCATACTAGTATTATTATTTCATGTATTCACACCTTTGACCTAATTCCCTCATCGGATATAATTTCTTAAAAAACCATATATATATATATACGATTGTATAGCTTGATAATGAATTCGTTGAAAAGAGTCTCTTCGCTGAATATATGGGGATGTTATGGGTCTAATCATTTTTCATTATGTTGACTGAATGGTGACTTATCATCGACGTGCACTTTGAAACGATGTTAGGGAGGTTAGAGACAATCACTAGGAAGTTGATCTTTCGCAGATAATTTTACCAAGTATACATATGAGAATTATGTCATCGAACTATTCAAGTTACAAACACTGTCTAAAAGTGCTTTCTCAAGGCAAAATTAATTTCGTAACTTTCCTCAGAAAATATGACGCTTTTGATATTTTGTCTTTCTCTATTTTTTTTGTAAATTAATAGATAACTCCCAACAGTTGTCTGAAACAGTAATGAATACTGACCGTCCAAATGTTGACACTATATTGGATTATATTTCAAGAATTCAAAATCCTAGTCATTTGCTACCTATGTCACCGTCACCGTCAACTTCAACAGTCTCCTCCTCCTCTATTATCTCGTCTTTATCTTCAGTATTGAATTCGTCTACATCATCAGTAAATACAGAAAAGTTAACACAGGATCTTTTCAATATACTTGACTATTGTACAAATAATTCGACCAGTCAACATCATTCAATGCCAACGCTACCAACAAATTTATCTCAATTGCATAATTCATCATCGATATTACCAAATTTAAATGATTTTAATTCTATATTTTTAAAACAACTCTCCGATAATCTATTCAATCAAACAATGAATTTATCAAATTCAATATTAAATTCATCTTATTTTTCTAAGCTTATTCCATCTTCATTTCAGTTGCCAACATTTATGATGAATACAACGTTGGGCGGTAATATCAATTCAGTCCCACAATCATTGATGAATCTGTCAACGTCACCATCAACATCATCACCATCAACATATGATTCTAAGGTATTCAATACGCCTACAGATTGTATCAGTAATACTCTATCATCCTCCTCCTCCTCTTCAATAGAATTAACAAATAGTGTGAATGAAATTCAAATCTCTCCTGTTGAACAACGTTTTGACGACAACCACCACCACCACCACCACAACAACAAAAGCAATGACAACAGCAACAATGCTACTCATCGTACTAATTATAATTTCAGCCTAATGAATAGTAATCATAATAGTTTTAATACGGATACATTGACTTCATCGAGAAATTCTGAAACCACTGGGGTTACTGATAATTTATTGGCTTCTGTTTAAGATCCATTCAGAAGTGAATACAGCTTATATGTGTCGATAAAAATGTATACACGTATGTGGAAAACTCTGTACATAGATGATCCACTCTTGAGTGAAGGAGGATCTCTTCATTATAGGCGCATATTTTTTTATCTTTTCCCGCCCTTTCATTTATCGTTGGCATGGAAAGCGATAAGTGAAAACAAAAAAAAAGGATTCATTTTCAAACAAACTTTTTATTTGTTTATTTTTCTTGTTTATGAATGGATAAATGATAAGAATATATCTCTAGACGAGCCTGATTTGATTTACAGTAAGCATTTTTTGAAGTATTACAAGATAAGATGGTGAGAGAGACATAGAAGAAGGGAATGGATATATGTAGGTTATTTCATTGATAAGATCATTGCAACTGGTCCCTAAAAGGTGAACAATGAAATTTTGTTCTTTGCAATGTCATTTCCTCTCATTGTTCCTTAACTTAAAACTCGCCTTATCATTAATCCTATTGTCAAATATTTTCTCTGCACAAGTACCAGTAGTCTTCACCTACTATTCAACTGTCATTACTATTAGTAGTAGTAGTAGTAGTAGTAGTAAGCAGTCAGTGATCGTTTGTTGCATCGCCCTGTCTGTCCCACTCTCTGTTTCCTCACAATAAACTGAGCATATGTCATCTCACCAACCCCCACCGTCCTCATCCCCTCATTTAGTATAATTGCGCATACATAATTAAATATCTTTAACACTTCTGGATAAATGCATAGCGTATTAATTTTCTTCAACTTTTTTTTTGAATACTAAATTGTACAAATAATACTACATGTTTGTGCTCAAAGCGATTGCGTGTAATGACTTCTTACCCCTGCATTTTCATTCCTAATAATTCACAAAACAAAAGAAAAAAATCCATAAAATTTTATTGTGCGAAAGTGTAATTATTATTATTGCTGTTATTAGTAGTATTATTATTATTTAAAACTGGGTTCTGTCTTGTGAGTTTTATTTCATTCATTCATTCCTGATTGGAAATATCTGTGTTTTCCTTAATCATCAAATGTAAATATTATTATTATTATTATGATTACCAGAGGTATAAAGAATGAGAATAAACATGATGACGTCGACACCAGTGTTTTGTAACTATTTACAATCAAGAATGGTAAGATATAGGTCAATGCATTGTCAACCATTCAGGTATTATTATTATTATTTCCTTTAATTCCCAGAGGAACATAGGGCTTCAGCTGCGCGTCCCCATTGCCTTCGGTTTTCTGCCAGCGTTTTCAACCCACTCCAAGTCTGCCCATACGCTTTCATCTCCTCTTCACATCACCTCCTCCAAGCCATCCTTGCATCGACGACCAACTCGCCGCCACTTCCCTTTCGGGTTCCACTCGAGAAATGGCTTGTCTAGTGATGTCACTTGATGGTTTGTTTCCTCAGAGTATGGCCAATCCAATCCATCTCCATTTCCTCCTGCCTATTCGTTTCACAATTGGTTCCTGCTGTGTTGGCTCATTCGCTCATCGCCAGAGATCCCACCCTGTTGCTGATCTTTTCTGGTCGGCCATCTGATCTTGAGTAATATTGAGCGAAGACAATTGTTGATGAAGGTCTGAAGTATTTTTGAGATGGTCTTTATGACGCGCGGTGCAAGTCTCTGATCCGTATCGTGAGTAGCACTGACTGACTTCACATTGGAGTAGAAAATCCGGATGTTATTTTTGATGCTGAGTGCTGTTGACCTCCACACAGACTTAGTTGAGAGTAGTGAAAGCTTGTCTTGCTTTTCTGATTCTGGCTTTGATATCCCTCGTCAGTTCCGTCCGCCTGTAGTTGAAACGATGCTTCTCATTCAGGTAGCTCAGATTTAATGTCAGTTAGTCTCACTTGGTAAGTCTTGTCTAGTTTATTACCTGACGGTCATGCCAGAAAAGACAGAAGGTTGTTGAGCAGGGGATGAGCAATCCCAAGCCGCAAAAACAACACTGTCACTTAAACTTCAAAAAGAAATGCTTGAAGCCATATATTTCAGTTGGAAAGCAAAGGAATCATGAAAAACGAGAAGAACGATAAAATACAATTCATGAATAATATGAAATACAAACATACTCATAAATTAGTATTGAAATATTTCACTTAATAATTTGTATTTTGATAGTTAGACTATCTGAGGTAGCTTTTAAGTTTGACAGTCTGATATTTTTTCAAGTTTGACCATCGATTGATTTCAGTTAGAGAACCGTTGAAAACCATCAGATAGTACTAGACAGATATTTCTTCGTAGTCTGGCACTCATCGACAGTACGCACCCACTGGGTTTTGATCAATCCATGGTCAGACTTGAAAAATAAATCAAATCCCCACATATCAACTGCTCGAAATTAATCTGATGCTCGCTAGTGACTGGTTACAGGACGGAGTTTCCTGGAGTCTTAGTGAGAAGCCGTGATCAGTTTGGTGGTCCATCCTATCTGGAGTGAGGAAAACTACTCGCTACTGATGACATTGGCTGGTGGTCACGCTAAAATCACCAGTTAGTAGAAGTTATAATTCATAGACTGGCCATTGGGTCGGACTCCAGTGACTAAGTGGTATATGAGTTTGACTTGTAAGCGGAAGGTCCTGGATTCGAATCCCACTGGTGGGTGCGTGCTGACGATGAGTCCCAAATTAGGATGTAGGAGACAGCTATCCAGTACTCCGTGTTAGTTTTCAATAGTTCTTTAACTGATATAAATCAGTCATCAAACTTGAAATACAAATCAAATCCCTACAAACCAACTTGCGAAGACTGATATTTGATATGATGATGGACTGCTGGAAGTGAAGTGAAAATTCAGTTCACGACAGCATTTAAACCTGTAGTCTCCAAAGTACCATTCCAGGGTTGGTATTCACTGCAATATTTGATGGCTGAAAGTAAAATAAAAATCCTAACATAACTTAGACACCCTCTTTTTGTCCACTGTGAATTAATAACAAATTAATCATATGTGAAAGTATTGGTTTTTGTAGGGATTTTTTTATTCGTTGGAGGATTGCATCATGAGCTGACATCAGTTAGAGAACCATTGGAAAACCTGCAGGGAGTACTGAACGGCTGTTTCGTTCACATTTGGGACTCATCATCAGTACGCACCCACAGGGTGTCAGCTCATGATGAAATCCTCCAACCAATTAAACAAAAAATCCCTACAAAAACCAATACTTTAAAATTAATCCCATGTTCATTGGCTACTGGCCCTATTCAGGCAGTTAATCCAGGGTTCTAGTGGGAATCCGTGACCATTAGGATGCAGCAGGTTGAAGGTGGGGTAGCAACTCATCGAAGAAGATATTGTGAAGTGGTCTCGCTATGTCATGAATTGGTGGAAGTTAGAATTCATGGGTTGGCCACTGGATCAGATCCCAGTGGCTCAATTATCTACGAGCACGCTGGCCTTGTAACCAGAATGTCCTGGATTCGAACCCCATTGGAGTGGCCGCATATTGATGAAGAGTCCCAAACTTGACTGATGAAACACCTGGCTGTCCAGTACTCCCAGGTGGTTTTCCAATGGTTCTCTAACTCATGCCAGCTCATGACGAAATCCTCCAACTAATCTTATTTATTAAGTCAACTGAAATGTACATGCAACGCTTCAATGTGTTCACCAAATATCTCATTCATTAAGTACAAGTTCAACTTATGTTTCAGCTGCTTGTATCCGATAAGTTAGGTAGTTTTATCATGCTTTGTAAACTGAATGTGAGATAATAACTGATCGAATAAATAATATATACCGGTGAAAGTGTTGATTTTAATTTTTGCTCAACAGTTACCCTGGATCAGGTAGCAAAATATGCAATTAGTACCTTTTTACACCACCAATGATATAGTAATGTATAATTGTTCAGGTCGTCTCTTATTTCTTGAGAACAACTTGTAAATAGGTGGGACTAGTCATCGAAGCATTGTCCAAAAACGAATAAGCTGGAAAATTCACTACACAAATATGAACTGACAAAGTATCATGTATATTTATACATATATTCAATGAAACGTGGCTGTCTGAGCTGTATCAATCCATTTATACTCTCTCTCTCTCTCTCTCTCTCTCAACCAAATCAGCATAACAACCGTTCTGTATATTTAGACTGCCTCTAATTGTCTAACAAACACCATTGCCTGAGGCTAACCGTTTTCAATCATTCATGTCAACTGTATATCCAGAATACCATTGAGAAATCGAATGCATTGAACATATGCTTTTTTTTCTCATAGCTACTTCATTTTAAACGACATATGACAATGTCAAAAAAACTCTTCCTAAATTAGATACCTACCATTTGTCAAGAAGATAATATACAAATATTCAAAACGTGATAGGTGTCTAATCAACCAATGAAATGGTAATATACAGAATTTGTTTGATACTACTAAATAAGTATGTGGCTTAATTTGCGTCATTATCATCGTCAAAATGAATAGTTCAGAGAGGGAAAGATGTACAAATCTACAATAATAACCACGACGTTTAACGATAAGTAGAACAAAACGACTGATGATAAATAATGATAACATAGATTAAAATAAAGAATGAGTACATTTGCTTCACTGTAATGATTTCTCAGTCATACTAACTATAGGGTAGACATATCTCTGTCAGTTTTTATACAGACGTGATTCAGAAAATGAATAGTTCTTTAGATAAGTTAAATAAACAGTCAGTGACTTAGGTTTTTTTTTTAACACAGCGTTATCCAGATTAACGTATTATCAGCATAACTAGTGATTTAATTTTAGTATTAAAGAGGGGATTGTGACAAATATCCTTGTGATTTCAGTCAATGTATTTTTCACTGCCTTGTCATCAGGGGGAACACTGGAAGTAGTTAGCAGGCAAATACAGTTAGTTAACTAGTCTCAGGTACCAAATAACACTTTCATCATATTATCTATACTCATTACTTAGTGATTATGTAGTAAGATGAATTCATTGAATTTCAGAGTAAAAATGATAAATTTTCATACAGATCTCGTTACGAGCCAACATCAGTTGGAGAACCTTTGAAAACTGTGGAGTACTGGATAGTAGTTTCATCCTAGTCTGGGATTTCTCAGTAGTGCACACACACAGGATCCCACCAGGGATCGAGCCAAGAAACTTCCCGTTATGAGGTCAGATCATTGACCTTTCAGACACTTGGGTTAGAAGTTAACGACAAGCGAATTCTAATATCTATCAGTTCATGATATAGCTCTACCGTTAGCCAGCGTATTCGCTGAGCATCCACTTTGCCCTGACATGGTGGACCCCACTGGTCACGACTTCTCAGTACAATCTCAGGGAATCCATCCAACAGTAATATGGAGACTGATATTTAGATTATAGGTTTTTTTAGGGATACAGGTTAATTTTAGTAAAGATTTAATCATGAACCAACATGAGTAAACTAAAGGATTCGAGATCAATCCCTGGTGAGGTCATGACTGCTCAGTGGTGAAGAATCGGGAAGTAGAATGAAACAGCCATCAAGTGTTCCCTGGTTTTCAGTGACCTCCAACTGGTGTTGGTTCGTGATGAAGTCCATACTGGAATTAAGTCAAATCCCTGTAAAATCTCATAATCTAAAAATAAAGAATACCATGAAAAATTATACTTCATTGCTTATTGCTGTATATAAGATTTATTTTTGAAACAAAAGTGCTGTAAACGTTATTCAGTAATTGAAGGAGATGATGAAATAGGCTTCTCTGATAAAAATGTTTATACTCTTATCTTTTTTTCGTCACCTAGTTAAGAAGTACTCGTTGTGTTATAGCAATAGTCAAACACACACAGATCTGGCAGCTTTAAGCACCACTGAAAGGTCTTAGTCGAGACATACATTAATATTTTTACGAGTAGATCATTGATTTATATCAATTAGAGGACCATTGAAAACCAGCCACATGGAGTACTGGACAGCTGCTGTTTCATCAGCCTAGTTTGATAGTCATCGGCAGTACGTACCCACTGGGGGTATTTTAACTGATATCAATCCGTGATCAACTCCTAAAAACAGAACTATCCCTTACAAACCAACTATAGAAAATATATTAATATGGCTGTATT